AGGGGAAGTGCCCGGCTGGGGGCGCAGGGTCTGGGGGCTGCCCGGCAAACCCTGAAGCCGGTAGCGCTGGGGCAGCCCTTTCCCCCTGGCTGGGAGTGGGAGGGAGGAGGGGGCGGAGTTAGGGCGGAGAAGGGGCGGAGTTGGTGCGGGGCTAGGGGTGGGGAAATGGGCAGGGCCAGGGCCCGTGGAGGGTCCTCTTTTTTTATTTATGAGATATGGTAACCCTATTCCAGGCTCCTGGACCTGCCTTTTCCCTAGCCTGTCTGATGCTCAAAGGCTGGGGAGCCAGCTGCCCAGAGAGTTGGTCAACCCAGGGAGCCGGTGCTGGAAGCCCTGGGGTCCCTGGTCCTCAAACAGTCTTTCTGGGGATGCTGGCTATCCTGGAACCACAGACCCTGGAAGTCCTGGGAATCGGGATCCCAACTCCAAAGCAGTTCTTCAGGCAGTATGCCAAAGAGCTAGGTGGGCAAGCTGGCAAGAAACCTGGCTGGCACACAAGTATTGAAACCTATGTTCCACTGGAAGATTTGTTAAAACTGACACATTTCCACTAAATGTTTTGCTTTCAACAAATTGGTATTTTCCCAATGGAAAAACATTGTCAGAAAATTTCCAACCAGTTCTAGTCACCGATGATAGACACGCAGGATGAAATTCTGAATAGAAAGAGTTGAAGATGCCATGCAGTAACTTCCATCAGAGACTCATTAAGGGTCTGGGTATGCACAGTGGGGGCTGTTGGACCTCTCTGAGCTTCCTTTATGTTGCACAACACAGGAGAATTAATTAAAGGCTAGTCCACCTTTTCCAGACCATGTGGTCGGAGAGAAGCTCTGAACTAGAAGTTTCCCGTCTGAAAAGCACACAGGCTGAGGGAGGGAAAAGGGCAGAAGGCATGTTTAAGCAGGTCGATCTGCTGGAGTTGTGTGCAAGTGATAGTGAGAGAGAAGGCCCAGGCAGCTGGTTCTGGGAACAGGGCAGAGGTGCCTGACCTAAGGTTCCTGCAAGAGGTTGTTGCTACCTCTGCTCAGGGAAACAGGACATGTACATTAAGAAATTACCTGACCCCACATCAACGAAGTGACCAGCAAGGCCCTGAAAACCTGCTACTGCTCAGCAAAAGCGCAACACTATATATACACAGTGGGAATACCAGATGCATGTGATAACCGTGAATTCTGAAATTACACACAGCACCCTCCTGTAAAGATTTCTATTGTACTAGTAATGCTTATTCTTAAATTCTGCCTTTCATTTTACAGTACCTCACACGCAAATTAAAACATCCCAAAAAAATGTTGTTGGCCCAGTCCTGATTGGCAGCCCCTGCATAGAACCACAAGTGACCTTGCAAGGCTGGCTTTTTCAAGGCAAAGGCAATGTACAGTCATACGCTCCATATCTTTTACTTTTATTGCATATGGTGAAATATCCAGTTACAAATTTGAACTTAAAAAAAAAAAATCTATCTTGGGAACAGGCTCACCAGCAATACAACTACATATAAGACTTTTAGGCAGAGTGAGTAGTAAACTCAAACTTAGTAGGACAAAGCATTTTTGCAGGATAAGGGACAAGCACTTGATGATGTTAATAGATAGAGAGCATAATGTGCTGACATAGACATTGCATATCACATTTCTGCTGTTACTAAATCATTCCATCTTTAATGCCCCTGCTTACATTAATCCCAGAATGCCTTGATGGAACAAATGTATTTCATATGTGCTTTTTCATATTAAGTGTGCATAGTTTCAATTTCTATTGTTGTATGCAGTGTTGTTATAGCTGTGTTAGGCCCAGGGTATTAGAGAGACAAAGTGAGTGAGGTAATATCTTTTATTGGACCAACTTCTGTTGGTGAGAGACAAGCCTTTAAGTTTACACAGAGGTACTGAAGAGCTTTTCAGGGAGAACCAATCCACTGATATGATTTGCATGCCCTAGCCAGTGAAGTGGCTGCATGCAAACTCTCACTTTCTGCTGACCTCTAGCTTCAGTTAAGATTTATTTAATTTAGGCATTTAGGGTTTTTTTTGTTAGCTTTCCTCATTATATTGCAGAGCAGACTGCTCAGATGCAATTCCTATGAAGTTCAGCAGGAGGAAGAGGTGCAGCTGATA